CCGGACTTAGGGGGCTGAGGGCAAGGACGCTGCCCAGCCTACTAGCGTGGGACCTTCACTCCTGGTTTGTCTGTGAGCCCTGTCTGTGGTGTTTTCCCACATGCCGCGTTATTTCCCTCCTTTTATTAAAAGCTTCTTTTCTACGCTCAGACTCTGCTTGCGAGGGGGGAGTTTTGCCTCTCCAAGGCATCCGGGGGTGGGGTGTGAATTTCCCAGGTTGCTGAGTGGGGGCTCAGTTCTCCCTTGGACGGATGGAGAGGAAGCCCTAGAGATTGAACCCGGCCCAGGCTGCTGCTGGCTCCACCTGGGAGAAGGGTCATTCATCCAGCTGTCTTGTCGGCCCATTTTCAGCCCCGGGGCCCCTCCAGACCTTGCTCCCTGGCTGCTTTCGCCCTGTACACCTGGTAGGAATGACTGGTCCTTAGATGCACTTGGAGGATTGCTGCTGCTTGAATGTTTAGCCCCTGCAGACCATGGACCTGCCTCACAAGGGCTATGTCTAGATTGGCATGATTTTCCGGAAATGCTTTTAACGGAAACGTTTTCCGTTAAAAGCATTTTCGGAACAGAGCGTCTAGATTGGCAGGACGCTTTTCTGCAACAGCATTTTTTTGTGGAAAAGCGTCCGGGGCCAATCTAGACGTGGCTTTGCGCAAAAAAAGCCCCAATCGCCATTTTCGCAATCGGGGCTTTTTTGTGCAAAACAAATCTGAGCTGTCTACACTGGCCCTTTTGCGCAAAAGTTTTGGGGACTTTTGCCCGAACGGGAGCAGCATAGTATGCAAAAAGCACTGATTGCTTACAGTAGGAAGTCAGTGGTTTTGTGGAAATTCAAGTGGCCAGTGTAGACAGCTGGCAAGTTTTTCCGGAAAATCTGGCCAGTCTAGACACAGCCAGGCTGTGTCTACCCCTTACGGCTGTGTCTACACTGGCATGAATTTCCGGAACTGCTTAAAACGGAATACTATTCCATTTTCAGTTTTTCCAGAAAAGGAGCGTCTTCATTGGCAGGCTGCTTTTCCGGAAAAGCCCTTTTTCCGGAAAAGCATCTGTGGCCAATGTAGACGTGCTTTTCTGGAAAAGAGCCCCAATCGTCATTTTCGCGATCGGGCTTTTTTCCGGAAAAAACTACTGGGCTGTCTACACTGGCCCTTTTCCGGAACAGTGTTCCGGAATAAGGACTTATGCCCGAGCGGGAGCAGAATAGATTTTCCGGAATAGCGGCTGATTTTGTACAGTAGAGCGCCGTTGCTTTTCCGGAAATTCAAGGGCCAGTGTAGACAGCTCGCAGCTTATTCCGGAAAAGCGGCTGATTTTCCGGAATAAGTGGCTCAGTGTAGACACAGCCCCCATGTGTAGGAGCATGTGCACCGTTCCCTGTCCCCTCCAGACCGTTCATGACGATATTCCAGGGGAGAGGCCAGATGACAAACTCGCGCTACCTGGAACATGTCTTGCCTCATTCAATTGTGACTCCTTAGCCCTTGTTTGCATCCAGGTTGCAGCTCACGGACCAGTGTGTCTCAAAGTGCGTTTGCATTCATTTCACACGGGATTTCCAGAGCTTTGCTAAAATCCAAGCGCACATGCACCCGACCCAGCTTCCCTTCGTCCTCGCATCCATGGGGCCTCAGAAGCAGTCGGCTTTGCCTGACGTGGCCTCTCTGAGCATGCGCATGCGGCTTGCAGTGCTTGGTTCTGCTATGGAGGAGCCGGGCACCATTCCCCACTTGAGATCTGGTCTGTGACTTTACCGGTGAGGGGACGGGATTTCACCTCCCACGGGGCAATGGCAGGCAGGACTCTCCTTTCCCGTTGGAAGAGCCGGATCCTGTATGGTGGTTTACAAAGGTGCAGTACCTCCCCATCCCCCTTGGACAGCTCTGTGACTCAGTTCCCCAATCTGTAAAATGGGGAGAATGATCCTGACCTCCTTTGAAACCGACAGCTGGGAAGCACTGGATAAAACCAGGTGTTATTGTAGGTATAATTATCGGCTGATCTGCGTGTTTGGAAGCTACCACCCTCGCGGGCAGAATTCCTTTCCTGGGGCTTCACGATTAGCTCGTTTCTCTTGGCCCCTTCAGCTGTCATTCACCGCACAGCGATGGTCTGTTCTGGTTTGTGTCCCTCTCCTCTTCCATTTCGAGCGGCCAGTCCCTGCAAGCCATGTACTAGCTGTATCCCCCACCCCTTTCCCAGGCTGGTATCCCCCAACCTGAGGAACTCCCCGCTGGCTGGAGTTACCCCTCCTTCTCTTCTGACCCTGCTCACTGGCAACTTGAATTCTCCCTGACCTCTCACTGCGTTCCCAGGGAATTCAGGAAGTGAGCATGATACTCTCACCCCCGCCGGTAGCGCCTTCCTTTCGGTGCAGGGTGCAAAGTGTGTGGAAACCCTGGAGCAAGTCTCCTGATCCTAGGGCCAAGGCCATCGTAGCGCAGGAGGCTCTTGGATTGCACATATTTGCCAGCAGAGACACCACTGGTTAAAACCCGCATGACTGCAGCGTCCCATGCTCTTGGCAGCTGGCCTGGGGAGTTTTCATGCTCCCGCCCGCCACCGCCCATGCTGGGAGTAGCAAGGAGATGCTGCCCGTCACCGCCCCTTCGTTTTCCCATTCCTTGCCCCTCATTCCTACCCCAGAGGATTCACTAGTTCACGCAGGCACACACAGCCCCGGCTGTCCTGCACCCTACCCTGCCCCCCGCAACTTTATGAACTTTCTCTTCACTCCCGGCTCCGAGACGGAGGCACAGATCAGCCTGTTTCAGATCCTCTGGTTAAAACGCCCATGACTGCAGCATCCCGGCTCTTGGCAGCTGGCCTGGGGAGTTTTCACTCTCCCTCCCGCCTCACTCACAGCTGAGCGGGGGACGATCAGCCTTTCGGCTGTAGAAATCAGAATTTGGAGCCCCTGTCGAGTGGGGAGGGTGTACACGGAAGGGGACGGGGGCAGCTCCGGGCTGCATGTTGTAGGGAAGCGGCGTTAGTCGGTACAGCAAAATGCCATGGTGTGACAGTCAAGGCACTCTGGCTGCACACACCCACCTCGCCAGGGGTTGTCTCCTTGGCATGCTTGGAATGACCCTGAGACATCCCCGTGGCTAGGCAGCGTCTGAGTCAGCAGTAGCTTAATGACCTTAGAAAGCAAGGAATTAGCCCAACTGGGAGGCCATCTGGCTGGGGTGGATGATCTCATGGGGTTTTCCCTGCCTCTGACCTTGATGTTCCTGTGACACCCTGGCCAGGGAGAGCCGGTCCCAGGCACACACTGGAATGGAGGAAAACGGCTGAAGGAGAAGGGGGGCGGGCTGCTGCCCCTTCCAAGGGGGGCTGAAGAGCCAGGCTCTGAGATACACACACAAGGGGAGCGGGCCCTGAGCCCCAGGGCAGTTCCCCCCTCCCCCAGCCCCATTGGCAGGCCTGGCTACAGTCATCAAATAAATACAGTTGCCAAAAGCAAATGCTGCATGGTACTGAGTACAATGTACATGCCTTAAAAAAGAAAGGGAAGGTTTCAAAAGCGATTTGGCACGGGAAGGCCCCTTTTCGGAGCTTGTGGCATGTCAATGAAGCTGGGTAAATTGCAGCATCTTGCTGCTCCCAAGCTGAACTCAGTCCGTGTTCGGCCGTTGGCTTGTGGAAGAGCCAGGGTGAAAGCAAATGCTGCATGGTACTGAGTACAATGTACATGCCTTAAAAAAGAAAGGGAAGGTTTCAAAAGCGATTTGGCACGGGAAGGCCCCTTTTCGGAGCTTGTGGCATGTCAATGAAGCTGGGTAAATTGCAGCATCTTGCTGCTCCCAAGCTGAACTCAGTCCGTGTTCGGCCGTTGGCTTGTGGAAGAGCCAGGGTGTCCGGTTCGGCGTGACGCACAGGCCCCGGTGCCCAGCGCCTGGCAGGCGGCGGGGGTGTGTGGAAGCGTCCCCCCAAGGGGAGCCGAGGGGCTCAGCCACCAGCGCGGCAGGGGAGCTCGGCTCCGTTTGCTGGACTGAGCACGGAGAATAGGGGCCTCCCCCTGCCAAGTTTCCCCGGAAACCGTCCCCTCACGCAGGCTGGGGGCTGGACGGCGAGCTCCCACAATGCACTGCGCCCAGCGTCATGCACACGGGGCTGGCTGCTTTCCAGGCCCTGGTTCCAGACAGGCTCCAGCCCGGCGGAAGCAGCTGGCAGCAAACAGCCCGGGCTGGCCGCCCCTAGACCAGTGGTCCCCCGCCTTTTTGGACTT